CCGCATCTTGGGATATGCTATCGACTCCCTCGGAGTTCGTGGACATCGGCAATGAGACGATCCAGATGATCGAACAGGCGAAGGCTCGGATCATAGACGACCCGGACACGGAGGCAACTCTTGGAGAGCATCGGTCCAACGACGAGCAGATCGACTCAGGAACCAAGCCAGCTGGATTGAAGTGGTTTGTGGGACCGGTGTTCGAGCGATACGACGAGACACGACAGGTATTTCTAGAGGCGACACGAATTGATGGTAAGGAGTGCTTGTTGATAGATCCAGGTGCATATGACAATTTGGTGGGTGACAGATGGGTTATGCGAATGGGAGCTTTGGCAAAACGGGCAGGCTTGGAACCGACACAACGTCTGATGGATCAATCGATCGGGGTTGAAGGAGTCGGTACCAACGCTCAGATCGCCAAGGAGGAGGTGACGATGCCAGGCGCATCCAAGGATGAACGAGGCAAGGTGCATCAGATAAGCTACAAGGCCCCAGTGGTTCCGGATTCCGACCTTCCCGCTCTCTGGGGAAAGCGCAGTCTGAAGCACAACAGGGCGGTGGTCGACATGATCAACAACAAGTTGTATCTGTGTGGCCCGGGAAGGGTGCAGTTCACACCACCGCCGGGGACGCTCACTTTCAACCTGGAAGATTCAAGATCAGGACATCTGCTGTTGCCAATTTCGCATTTCTTCGGCAACGGTAAGGACAAGAAGGTTCGCGCGAAGCAGGGGCCGGCCACCTGGCATGCGAGTGCGCCTGTGATCGTCAAGCCTATGATCAAAGATAAGGCGAAGGAGGACGAGGCAGACTCGTCGACGCACGAACCGTCACCGGCCACTACCTCGAGGCCTGCGGAGCACTGAGGGTGCGGACCGCCGTTACCAAGCGACGGTGGTGCCGCAGGAAATCATATAGCTTGGCATCTGGACGTCCCCGAGCAGGACCCTGATATCATAGTGATAGACGAAGACAATGGCCATCCGATTCGCACGAAGCTGCTGAGTCAGGCCCACATCACCTACACCCGCCTAAGTCTTCTGCACACCTCGACCATGGAGCATATTCTCCGACTCTTGGAGCGAGGGAAGTGTCGAGGTGTTTGGATGCGACTACATTCCCTTATACCTGACGTTACTAGAAGACAAGGGAAGACCCGAAAACAAAGGCAAAGATTGATGGCGACCTCCATACTCATCGCGCGCTTGATTCAGCTTCGGTGCGTGCTGGTGGTCGATTCCCAAACTACGAATGAGGCCTGGCAGGAGGGTGATATTCTCAGAGCGACGGCAACGACCCTGCCAGGATATCGGACGACAGATCATCGATGGTGCAGCTACTTAACGTCAGGCAAAGACATGGCCCCGACGACCAGCCAGAGATTCTTTTCCAACCTGGATCTGCTGCCCGACTCGTGCAGCTGTGGTCGTAAGATTTCAGATCATCGTAGATCGGCAGGGTTGGAACACGTTCAGCTTGAAGGTCAGTTTCTTACCGTATTCTGGCAGAATAGACTCCGAGACAAGCTGTGCGATGCTGTTCGAGGAGAGGTACATGACGATAATGATACGGACCGAGCTGCACGATATCCGCAGACGGGACCGGATGAGCCCGTTGACTCCCACATGGTGGTGACGAAGTCGAAGACGGTCAGTTTCTATCCGACCGACTCGGCCAAGGCCTACAAGGAGAAGCTGAAGTCCAGGAAGGCCGAGGGACACGAACCGAAGAAGAAGGTCAAGAGGATTATAGATCCCGACGTCATGGATGACTGCGGCGAGGACCTCGGAGAGCTCAACTACCTACAGAACGAGGAGGTGTGCTGGTGGGAGATGCCGGACAATGAGGTGGAGGATTACTATCTGGAACCGAGCGAGTTCAAGACGGATGATATCATCGGAAGACTCAGAGATGAACGTCCTCCAGATCGAGAGCGACATTTCCTTGGCACCCCATCGGGTCGATCCTTCCTGAATCACCTAAAGCAGACCGAGAACCGTTTCTTCGTAGATGTCGCTGAAATCATGGGAGGAGAAGGACGCACCACTCAGCTACTCGTTCGACGACATTACGTGGGAGGTCGTAATTTTGATGCTCTCATGGGCGTAGATCTCCTCCAGCGGGACGAGGAGATGGAGCTCTACCAATATTTGAAGGAGGAGCGACCCTTTGTGTTGGTGATGGCTCCTCAATGTACTGGTACCGCGGGATGGTGCACGGTAAACGAGTCGATCGGCAGCGAGGTGCATCGTCGTAATGCGGAGGCCTCTTTCAGGCTAGGACAGATTTGTGCGAAGGCAGCCCATATTCAGTTGGACGGAGGACGCCACTACGTCAATGAGTTGCCGAGGGGAAGTCGTATTTATCGAACTCCAGAATGGATGGATCTGGCACGTAAGAATCTCACTTGGGTTCAGTTCAACATGTGTATGCTGGGACTTGTCAACTCGAAGAAGGAGCCCTTGAACAAGCCGGAGGAGGTATGGGCGAGTCACGAGGTGCTGATTTATCGGCTGCGTTCCAAGGAGTGTGATCGTCAGCATCGGCATGGGGAATGCTCTGGACGGGACACCAAGCCTTCCCAGGTATGGACATGGCAATTCGCTCGTATCTTGGCCGATGGGATCTCAGAGTTGATATGGCTTCACGAATTGGACCTGAGGAAGTTGATCTATCCAACAGTAATGGCGTACCCGAGGATGAATGGCGAAGGAGTACCCGCTCCTATTGACCATCCTCCACCTGGACTACCAGCTCCAGCAGCAGAGGCAGCGGCAGCAAGTGCTCCTCCGCCACCGCCCGCACCAGAAGAAGCGGTTGATCCGCGTGCTCGTCGGGCGGCGATCGGACCTCATTTATGTCCCGGATGTCGGAGAAATCGAGTCAGCACGCATCCGACACACAATCGCATCCCGGGACAGTGTCGACATCCGCTGGTACAACCGCTGGAGTACAATTGCCCCGCATGCAGAACGGGTCGAGATCGGCGCGATCCCCGACACACTTTCGACACAGACTGTCGCCTCCTCATGGACGAGCCCAGAATGATTGGGACGAGAAGATCGGGACCCGCTCACGCTCGAGATCCGCGAGTACCGGCAGCACGAGCGGCAGGTGCTGGTCATCGAGTACATCCTCGAGCAGGAGAAGAAGAGGAGGACGCAGCCCCACATCCTGAAGCCGGACCCTCAGGTGCTGCTTCGGCCGCAGCTCGGGAAGGCGATGATGACGTACAACCTCATCCTGAAGCTGGACCCTCTGGAGCGGCTCCGGATGCAGCAGCGGAGGAGGCCATTCTTCCTGCAGGAGGATCAGGACCTCCGGCCGGGGCAAGCGGAGACGAGGTGGCACTGAGGAGGCGCAGATTTCAGGATGCTATGGCCCAGATCGACACAGGAGCGGACTGGACGCAGTGGGATATGGGACGTGCTATTCAGGGGCTGAGATCAGCGGTTCCTGGAATGGTGCAACGTACTCTACGTCGCATGCATATACGACTCTGGCACGCTCCGGCCCAACGACTACGAGACCTTCTCTCGGCCGCAGGTCTACCACGTGAAGTGATCAATATGGTACAGGATGTCGTGGACACTTGCACCGTCTGTCGAGAATGGCAGCGACGAGGCGAAAAGTCGATGACAAGTTTAACGTTCACCACGACCTTCAATGAAGGAATTCAGTTTGATTTGCTTTTCCTGGATGACGGTATCGTGGTGCACTTGATCGATATGTGTATCAGATGGGCCCAAGGGCTATTTGTGAAGTCAAAAGAGCCGGGTGATGTACTCCCGGCCATCACTCATATTTGGTTTCGAGTCCATGGCCCTCCGAAGTTCATCACCTCAGACCAGGAGGGAGCATTGTTCTCGGATGAAGGAGCTATCTGGGCAGATCGATGGAAGGTGGACCTGAGACCGAAGCCCAAAGGAGCGCACGCACATGTTATTGAACGGAGGAACGACTTACTTCGAACACAGTATCATCGAGTCAGAAGTCAAGCAAATGAGGAAGGCATCAGAGTTTCGAAGGAAGAGTTGCTGGATGAATCCTTGTTGGCCATGAACACCCTCCTAAGCGTTCACGGGACTACACCATATGCGGCTTTGTATGGTCGGGTTCCGAACATTCTACTGGAGCTCGGAGGGGGAGGATCTGAGTTCGACGACGAGTCTGGAGGCTCAGTATCTCGCCATGTTCATCGGGTCAGAGAGTTGGCTCTGGCCAACATCGTGCAGGGCAACGCCCAGGAAAGGCTGAAGATAGCGGCTCGCACGCGAACGAGACCAGCGGCTCAGCTCGGAGACCTTCGGGTAGGCGACTCGGTTGACATCTTCAGGGACCCGCCGAACAAGGATGTCACTGGCTGGCGGGGACCTTGCAAGGTAGTTGCCATGGATCGAGCTGACGAGGGCATCATCGATGTGCGATGGCAGGGTCGCACGCTACCGTGCCGACCGGCCGATGTTCGCAAGGCAGTAACATGGTGGACTCTGATTGCGGCTCCTGGCCGCGGGGACACCAAGCCGTACCAGCTCTTAGTATACTATGTGGAGAACATGGCGGCGGGCACTACGTTACTCCTGGGATATGAGATCGGAGAGGATGGGCACTGGAGGATGACGAAGACCAGTCGTCGGCTGCCGACTCTGACGACGGCAGCTTTCCACGTGGCTGCCTGCGACTTTCAACTATATGGAGTCGTAGCCACGAGACTGGGGTACGGTTCGCGAGAAGTTCCAGCTGCCCGAGGCCATCACACATGCATGATCGTATGGTGGCTTCCAGGAGAATCGATTGGCTATCACCATGCAAGTTTCGATCCTCGAGCGAAGGCGAGTACACAACACATGATGGGGCCAGGTTTTGGACGCGTGTGCTGGGTGCAGTTTCTAATGGTGGAAATTTCTACAGCCGAGGTTCTGCGGCAAATTGATGTTCACGTCCCTCATGTTGGAGGTCCTCATCAGATGCCCGACTTCCCAGCACCGCGCGGAAAGGTACGGCCGCGCGATCCGCATGACGTGGACGAACGATCAGATCGATGGCATCGCTGGCCTACACCAGAGGCCACCATCGACGAGGAATCCGAGGCATCTGAGCCTCAGGCTCAAGGGGTAGCTCATCCCCGAGATGCGGAGGCAGACCCCGAACTGCTAAGACCTACGTGGCGACCATTTCAACAGCCGTACCGTATAGAGCCAGACGGCAATTCAGATGTGCAGGATCTGTGGCTGGAACCTTGGGATCCTGGATGGATGCGACACGTGAGGACAGAGTTCAGTTTCTTTCGCGCTATCCTTGACAACCGATCACCGCCTGACGCAGAGTACTGGTTAGATTCCCGAGTGTTGGAAGCTGTTGAGGTGGCTACTCATCTTGAGAATACAGCAAGGGAGACGCAAGCTCTGGAGGTGGAGTTTGGATCAGAGATTTCCAGGCTTGTGATCATGACCACCGACGCGCACGACTTGCCCAAGTCTGAGATCTTTTCTCTCTTTGCGAACGACGAGAGCCACCGCATTATTCTGTCCGTCAACTCGACGGGGAAGACCAAGATGGTTATTGAACGAGAGGCTGACGAACTCAACAAGGATGACCTGATTAAGCATCGAGTGGAGGTGGAAAAGGCTATGTCGAAGGAGCTAGGCAACTGGATCGAGTTGGGCGCGCTCAAGCAACGAAGCAGGCAAGGATGCACCAACTTGATGGACTCTCGATGGGTTATCCGCTGGAAGAAGCAGCCAGACGGCAAGTTGGCAGTCAAAGCGCGACTATGCATCAAGGGCTTCAAAGATATGCAGCAGGATCGTCTGGACACTTTCAGTGCGACTGCCTCCAGGCAAAGCCAGAGGATAGTGAACTTCATCGCGGCAAGTCGCCCCAAGTGGATGTTGTGGTCCTGTGATGTTGGCAGCGCATTTCTGAAGGGACTCACATTTCAAGATGTGGCAGATATGACAGGGGAACCTCTCAGAACCGTTCAGTTGGACCTGCCCAAGGACACGGTAAAGATCGCAAGGCAGTTTGAACCGTTATCCAACTATGATGTGAGTCGGCATTGCTTGGAGATGGTACGTCCAGGTTTCGGTCTTGAGGACGCGCCAAGGCTATGGAATCTCAGGCTAAAACAAGTAATGACGAAGCTTCAGCTCTTGCCGTTGGTGACCGATTCTCAATTTCACTGCAAATGGGCTGGCCCTCGATGTGAACCGGTACCTCGTGAGCTGGTACCCATGCACGCTGACAAGGAAGCGGCTCGAGGCACAGACGTGTTGTTCACTGACCCGGACACAGCAATTGAGGATCTGCAGATGGTGTGCAGTACCCACGTGGACGATCTCAAGGGAGCTTCGACCGAACCGATTGCTGACGCCTTCATGGGCGCTCTTGAGTCGGAGTTCGGAAAACTCACAAGGCAGAAGAGAAGGTTCGAGCACTGTGGCGTTATTCATGATCAGCATGAAGACGGATCTGTGTGGTGCTCACAGGATCACTACGCTACTCAACTTCGGCCGATGCAGGTGGACAAGATTCGGGCTGATGAAGAAGCCCTCGATTCTCAAGACCGAACTTCATTTTGGTCACTCTTGGGTGGAGCAGCCTGGATGCTAGTCACGCGAGCAGATGTTGCAGTCCATATCGGGTATCTACAGCGACACGCTCATGAACCTTGCTGGAAACATGTTAGACACCTGAACTCAGTTGTACGGTGGATCAAGAGAAAGAAGAGTTCGCTTGTCTACTATTCAGTACCTCTGCCATGGAGTGTTGTGGGTTTCCCCGACAGTGCTTTTCGTGCGACCGAGCCGGACTGCCTGGCTGTGAGAGCGGCAGTTATCGCGATTGCTGGTCGGGACTTCATGCCGAAAGGAGGACTGTGTGCAGCAGTGGAGTTCTACTCACGAAAGCAACCTCGAGTATGTCGTTCTACTTTTTCGGCGGAGCTGGCAAGTGTGGATGACGGTATCAGCAATGCTTTGTTGACACAAGTGATGGTGTGTGAGATCGTTCACGGCCCCTTGACGGCGAAACAGATTCAGAGATGCATGGACACCGGAAGGCTACCAGTTGACTTGCACATTTGCACGGACAACAGGGGCTTGTTCACGGCGCTGGGTGCCACAGAGCTGAAGGCACCAGCGGAACCTCACCTTTTGTATTTGCTGCGAGCTCTACGTGATAGACTTGAAGCAGGTACTCTCTGTAAGCTCTGGTGGGTGGACACTAGAGCCATGATCAGCGACGCGTTGACCAAGGGCGGACTGGCTCGAGAACCTATCTTGAAGCTATGGGAGACGGCAGTTTTGATGATAACTGGAGATGAACCCCTGGCTCTGTGCCTGCGGAGTCCTCACAAGGATACCAGTGAGGGGGAATATCAGTGAGTCTTTATCTTTACATATTTCGAGGGATTGCAAGATCTTTGATGAAGATTGGTCTACTGTATTTGCAGGGAGAATATTTTCCCCATATATTTTTTGTGTCTACACTGCGGTA